TAAGTATACGGGGTAAAAAAGGAAAACGAATGAATGCCTGAACCTTATTAAGTAAAAGCAAGATCTCCTGCTGGCTGCCTTTTCTCTACTGTGATTCCCAAGCTGAGTCTAAGCCTGGTCTGCCCTTCTGTTCGCCACTGGCAAACACTTAATGATGACCATCTCTATTATATATTTACTCATTTGTTGATTTAATAAAAGAGTTAACCGTGAGCCGGCTGGTGGTGGTGCACGCCTTTAATCCCAGCACTCAGGAGGCAGAGGCAGGTGGATCTCTGTGATTTGAGACCAGCCTGGTCTACAAGAGCTAGTTCCAGGACAGCCTCCAAAGCCGCAGAGAAACCCTACCTTGAAAAACCAAAAAAAAAAAAAAAAGTTAACTTTGCACCAGCTTCAGGGAATACAGCAACGACAAAAAAAATGTTCCGTTCCCTCATAGACTTTAAGAAGAGTAGATGTAAGAAAGGAACGAAATACATTCATTGTACCTTAGATGGTGAACAGTGCTGACTAAGAGGAATAGAGAGTGTGGGGGAGGGTTGCAGTTTTTTTATAGGATGGACAAGGAAGTTTTGACTAATGAGATACTTGAGCAAAGACCTAACGGGTCATATTTTTACATCACCAAATCAAGTTAACAGTATTTACCTGGGACATCATCCAGGAAATCAGGGCCTTTAATCCAACTCTTTAACACATCAGGACACTAGAGGCAGTAAGAAGAAGTAAGGCGACAAGGGCAAACCCTCCAAGGGTAAATGGTCCAGATAGGAGGCAGAGCCAGTGACCAGGTATGCTGGGTTTCTTTGTTTGGCTGGGAGGATTAGGAAGTCCCTGTGGCTCTTCCTAAGAAAAGGAGTCATTTTATTCATCCTGCTATCCTGAAAGAGTGTGTGAAATATAGTAAAGACATGTATTTTTAATGAATCCTTATATATTTTGGTAATAATATAAGAATGTCAATATTTTACAAAACCTGAATTGTACTAAATTACATTTTTCTTTTCATTTTGAGACAGGGGTCTCTTTATGTAGTCCTGGGTGTCCTGGAGCTCAAAATGTAGACCAATCTGGCCTCTAACAAAGACCCACCTGCCTCTGCCTTCCTAGTGCTGGGACTAAAGTCATGCACCACCACTCACGGTTACAATGACAGGTTTTTAATTTAGACAAGGTCTCATGTAGTCCAGGCTGGCCTCAAACTTGATGTATAGCTGAAGATGATCTTGAATTTCTGATCCTTCTGCATCCATATCACAAGTGCTGGCATTAAAGGTATGTGCCATCACACCTGATTTATGCAATGCTGGGATTGAACCCAGGGCTTTGCACTTGCCAGGCAAGCACTCTACCAACTAAGTTGAGCCCACGGCTAGTCTAGTTACGTTTATGACAATGAAAATATTTTGATTGCTATCCTGACTCAGTGCCACTAAAACAGATCTGCCTTTTGTTCACTCATATTTTTAGATCAGTTCAGGATGTGATGTTGGAAATATTTTACAACATTGCTATCTGTTTCTTTTTGGACTTCTGACAAAATGAACTATCGCTTATAGTGAATGCAAAAACACTGGAAAATGAAAATGTACATTTAGATCTCTGGCAAGGTTAACAGACTCCTTAGAATAACTTTAAGAAAAGGCCAGTATAAGATTTATTTGTATTTTTACAACTTACCATTCTTAGGTATATCCATGTCAGCATTTATTTTACTTGAAAAAGTGCCTCATTGTTTTGTGTGTGTGTGTGTGTGTGTGCGCGCGCGCGCACACACACACACAGAGTATTCACAAGCTGGGTGGAAGATCACAATTCTTCTGCCTGCTCCTTTGGTCCACGGAAGTCCCACAAGCTAGTGCTTCCAAATCTTTTCGATTTTGCAGTTTGAACTCAATGCAATTGTGAAGTTTTAGCTGGAGAATTCTATTTTCTTTTGGCTTCCTGGTTTTCTGAGATTCACACAAACATAAAACTTTCCCAAGAAACAGAGCCTGGGTTGTAGAAAACAGGTCTAGATTTATCCCCAGAATTACCAAAAATAAAGAAAGAAGAGGGGAAGAAGGCAGGGAATAATGTAGGGTGTGTTTCTGTACACTTTGAATATATGTGTTGCTCTCATTGGTTGATAAATAAAGCTGTTTTATGGAAACACCTGTGGAAAGGCAGGATAGAACCAGGAGGGACATCCAAGCAGAGATACAGGAGAAGATGGGTAGATTCTGAAAGATGCCAGCAGGCACCCAAGGAGTAACATTCCAGAGCACCACAGGTAAGACACGGTCCACAGAAATGGGTTAATTTAAATATAAGAGCTATATAGTAATAAGTCTGAGCCACTTGCCAAACATTTATAATTAATATTAAGTCTCTGAGTGATTATTTAGAAATGGCTGCAGGGCTGGGCAGGACAGAAAAGCCTCCAGTTACAATACCAGGAAGATGGTGGCAGGAGAATTGTGAATTCAAGGCCAGCTTGGGCTATATATACAGTGAGAGCCTGTTTCACAAACCAGAGACTGATCACCAACCCTGTTTTTATTCACCAGCTCTGGGAGAAAAAGTGTTGTCAAACATCTGTACCTAGCCAGAGCTCTTTAGGAGCACACTGACAGTTTAGAAAGTTGAGACTGTTACTTGTTGCAGCAAGGGGGAACACACAACATGAGAGCCATGGCTACCCAGGGAACAAGGAGGAAAAGAGTCAACTCATAGGATTTGAGCTTCAGTTAGTGATTTGCAGGAGGATTCAAAGAAGCAGGGCTTTGGTCTACACTGGCTGCAGAAGACTAGGGCATTTCTATGACTTGGCATCTCAACCTAATCTCTAGGGGGAAGAATCACGTGAAAATGAGGCCATAATTTTAAAAGAACTAGTAGCTACTCATTTTGACCAAACAAAAGGGGGTTAGGATTTTGTCATCAGCAGAGTTGACCTTGATTTTGTCTGTGCTTAGACAAACATGATCAAGTGCTTAGCTTTGTCTTGTGCTAGCATGGCCTCTGAGTTGTTCCATAGGAGGCCCCATCACTTTGTTTTCTGAAACAGGTTTTATTGCAGAGTAGATAAGTCTCTCCGGACAGTGAGTGCCAGGATCCACCTCTCTGGCACTGGAATTTTAAGCACATAGCATCATGCCCAGCTTTCTTATGTGGGTTCTGGTGATCAAACTCAGGTCCTTGTGTTTGCATGGCAAGCATTTTATAGACTGATCTGTTCCCCAGCTACCCTTTATCCTCTGAGTATTTTCAAAAGTTCATTCAGATATAATGTACCAGAAAAGTATATGAGTCTCAAGTGAATTTTCAGAAAATGAACACACCCAATATGATTTCCACTCAAGAAGCAGAAAGTCATCAACATTTACAATTCCTCTGTCTCAGTTACTATTCTATGACTGTGATAAAACCCCATGACCAAGGTGACTTATAAAAGGCATTTAATTGAGCTTAAGGTTTCAGAAGGTTTGGATCCATGATGGCAGAGCACAGGCGTGTTCAGTGGTGCTTCTTGGATGTCAAATTGACTACATCTAGAATTAACAAAGCCTCAAGTGGATGGGTACAGCTGTGGGGGATTTCTCTTGATTAAATCATTTGAGGTGGGAAGATCCACCCTAATTCCAGGTCTTTTGGAGTGGGAAGATAAACCTTGAATCTGGGCCACACCTCCTGGTGGCAGCCTACATAAAGGTCATGGAAGGAGGAAGCTCTTGCCCTTTGCTTGCTTGATCCCTCCCCATTCTTGCTGGCAAGTCCATTGCTTCAACTGGTACTAGAGCCTACTTCTTCAGCATTGAGATGTACGCTGAAGACCATCTGAGACATCCATCCTTGAGGACAGAACAACTACCGGATATTTTTTTTTTTTTTCCGAGACAGGTTTTCTCTGTATTGCTTTGGAGCTTGTAGAATTCACTTTGTAGACCAGGCTGGCCTCGAACAGCCACATTTTTTTCATACACACGCACACACAGATATGTTCCTTCTTTCAATTCTTTTGTTCTGACTAATACAGCATGGCAGCAGGAGCAGCTGAGGACTTACATCTTGATCCCTAAGCAAGAGGCAGAGAGAGCTCACTCAAAGCCCATCCCTAGTAGGATACCTCCTCCAACAAGACCACACCTCATAATCCTTCACAAACAGTTCTACCAACTGGGGGCCAAGTATTCAAACCTAAGAGCCTACCAGAGTCATTCTCATTCAAGCCACCATGCCCCATTTCTGTGCCTGCCAGGCTTTTGTTCCCAGGGCTACGTCACCGTCAGACTTCTAACATCACAGATTAGTTTTGCCTAATTTTGCTCACAAAATAAATGGAAGCATGTAATAACTATTCTTTTGGGTTAGGTTTTCTGAACTCAACATGATGCTTATGAGGTTCACTAACGTATAACATTTTCATTCTTCATTTTCATTGCTGCATGTGTCTCATCTTGCAAACACACCACAGTTTATCTGTTCTGTAGATGGAAAGAAATTTGGCAGGTTCCAGTGTTGAGAGGAAGAGTGCTGCCATTAACATTCTTGTCCATGTCTTCAGTGAATTCGTGGATGCATTCCAGCTTGTTAGGAGCACACATGCAATATGTTTATTTTAAACTTTTGGGGATAATGCCAAACATATTCTTACACTGATTGTAACCATATACACTTCTGCCAGCAATGGAAGAAACTTCTGTGTGCTTAATTTCCCAAAATACTTACACTTATGCAGAACACAGGAAAAGATGAAAAAAAAATAATGGATACTTTTTTTTTTTAACTTAAAAGAAAAGTAGGTTAGGCATTTTACTTTGTGTTTTGCCTGCCTATATAAATATGTATATCTTGTGCCTATTTAGTACCTGTGGAAGTCAGAAGAGGGCATCATATTCCCTGGAACTGGAGTCACAGATGTTTCTGAACTACCATGTGGGAGCTCGGAATCATATCTGGGTCCTCTGCAAGAGCAATAAGTGCTTTTAACCATTAAACCATCTCTCCAGCCCAGTTACTACTTTTTAAACATTTATTTATGTTGCATATGTGTACTAAAATGTGATAACATAGATTTACAACATTTAACCTCTAATGTCTCCATTGATGTTACATTAAAAGATTAAACATTCATTTTTCACAATTCTGGAGGTAGGAAGTCCTAGATAGTGATTTAGTTTGCTTTCTACTTCTGTGATAAAACAAAACAAAAACAAACAATCAAAAACCATTGATCAAACAGCTCATAGTCCATCATGAAGGAAGTCAGGTAAGGAACTCAAGGCAGGAATCTAGAGGCAGGAACTGAAGCAGAGACCATGAAGGAGGGCTGCTTAATGGCTTGCACGCCAGGCTTGCTCAGTTTGCTTTCTTACACACCCCAGGACCACTTGTCCAAGTCTGGTACCACTCACAGTGAGCTGGGCCCTTCCTACAGGGCAGTCTGATGGGACCATTTTCTCAACTGAGGGTCTCTTAGATGACTCCAGCTTGTGTCAAGTTGACAAAAACAAAACAAAATTTAAAGACCTAATGAGCACAAAGGAAAATTATGTTAATATCATCTATAATCACTAAAGAAAACATTAGTGCTTAAAATATCTAAACACACTAAAGAAGATATTAGCAAACGGAACCTACAAAATAATTTTTAAAAAGCCAGACCAGATTGTTTATTTTAGGAATGAAAACTAGTCTATCAATGTACTACATTAAGATTCATACTGATTTCTCAATATTATTACATTGCTCTAATCCATTAAATACTTATTAGTTTACTGGCATTGTGAACATAATTCATTGATATAATTAATTAAAACAGAAATAATATTCTATCCAAAGATTAAAGGAGAGAAAACCTGATCTCCAGGGCTTCCAGGGGAGCAAGTTGGTAATACTTCCACTTCTGATAAAATCTCGAGGAACCCTCTCCTCACCCCTTGCCACCTGCAACAGGTGGGGGATCTGGTCCAATCCCCCACCAGCTCCAGCACTCAGGGCCCCTGGGCCTCACCTCGGCAGCAAGGCAGAGTTGACCCTGTAGACAGGGCCACAGGTGAGCCAGCCCTGAGGGCTTGAGAGAGGCTGCTACCCTTGTCTGCTGTGTGGTGGTGGGAGCGAGGGAAAGATACCCTTGCCCCTCTCTTCTGCTACCTCCAGCTGGCGAGGGAGCTGACCCTCCCCTCTACCAGCTGCAACCCTACAGAAAGTGAGCCTGCACCTTGTCTGGGTAGCATAGTGGGGAGCTGATCCTGTTTACAGGGGTTGGGGGGCACAGGTGAGTCACCCACCCCAGAATGTAAGCATGGGAGATCTGATCGCCCCTCATCTGCCATATGGTGGCATGGGCGGGAAGAGATGCTACCCCCACATTCCCTATATCCCCCCACCTTCCCCCACACCCCCATAACTGAGGCATGCGGGAGAGTGGGCTCTGATATCACAAGAGTGAGAGAGCTGCCCCGACCCTCACCAGCTGCAGCGCTCAGGATCGTGGCAGCTCAGCAGAGCTGACTTATCGATGGGGGTATGGATGAATCAGCCCCAAGAATGTGAGTGTGGGAGATCTGGCCCCATCCCTCATCTGCCATATGGTGCCCGCGGGGCGGGGGTGTCACTCCCTCTTGCCTGTGGCGGGAGAGATGGCCCTGAGGTCACAAGAATGGAAGAGCTTGTCCCTGCCCCTCACCAGCTGTAGCACTTGGGAGAGTGTTCTTGGCACCTCACCTAGGCCACACAGTAGAGCTGGCCCTGATGATCCAGGTGTGGGAGAGTGGACCCTGCGGGCAGGAAAGCAGGCGAACTGGCCCTGCCCCTTGATCATCCCTGCAAAGGGTAAACTGACTGGGAAGTGCTGGAGAGCTCACTCTAGTGGTGAGAATGGGGGAGAGCGGGCAGGCTGACAACCCAGCAACTACCCAGGCCCAGAACCCAGGTTGGCTCACCCCAACATCCACCCATCCATGAACTGCAGGAGCGTGTGAAGGGGCTGGTCCTGTAAACCCAAAGCTGCGGGATCTCCACAACACAGGGCAACAACAGGATATCCAAGAGGAGGCCCAGTGAGGGCCCAGCATCGATAGTGTAGCAGAAACCAGAGGCCTTGAACTAGACCAATGACTCTCTGCAATAAACACTTGCAAGTAAAGATATATGGATAAAAAGGTTTACTGTGTGACTTACTGTGCCACACTACAGCTTCCATGATGAAATTTTTCTTTTTCCCTTTTTTCGTCAAATTTTATTTGGGGCAAGGGAGGGGTGCATGGGTAGAAGGCAGATACGAAGAGATGGGGAGATGAATTGGATCAAGATGCATGATGTGAAAGACACAAAGAATAAATAAAAATAAAGGGGGAAAACGCTCTAGAAAACAGCCAGGCGGTGGTGGCACACATCTTTAATCCCAGCACTGGGGAGGCAGAAGCAGGTGGATCTCTGAATTTGAGGCCAGCCTAGTCTATAGAGTGAGTTCTAGGTCAGTCAATGCTATCTTCTGTTTAAAAAAACCAAAACAGATAAATACATAATAAAATAAAAATGTTAGAAACATAGATATAAGAGTCTGTGTAGCTCCTCTTCAGTCTACCCTCCAGAGTCACAATCTGCTGTTCCCTGTGCCCAGACTAACCTCTGCTGTTCCCTGTGCTCCGACTAACCTCTGCTGTGCCCAGACTCACCTCTGCTGTTCCCTGTGCCCCGACTAACCTCTGCTGTTCCCTGTGTCCCGACTCCCCTATGCTGTGCCCAGACTAACCTCTGCTGTGCCCCGACTAACCTCTGCTGTTCCCTGTGTCCCGACTCCCCTATGCTGTGCCCAGACTAACCTCTGCTGTGCCCCGACTAACCTCTGCTGTTCCCTGTGTCCCGACTCCCCTATGCTGTGCCCAGACTAACCTCTGCTGTGCCCCGACTAACCTCTGCTGTTCCCTGTGTCCCGACTCCCCTATGCTGTGCCCAGACTAACCTCTGCTGTGCCCCGACTAACCTCTGCTGTTCCCTGTGTCCCGACTCCCCTATGCTGTGCCCAGACTAACCTCTGCTGTGCCCCGACTAACCTCTGCTGTTCCCTGTGTCCCGACTCCCCTATGCTGTGCCCAGACTAACCTCTGCTGTGCCCCGACTAACCTCTGCTGTTCCCTGTGTCCCGACTCCCCTATGCTGTGCCCAGACTAACCTCTGCTGTGCCCCGACTAACCTCTGCTGTTCCCTGTGTCCCGACTCCCCTATGCTGTGCCCAGACTAACCTCTGCTGTGCCCCGACTAACCTCTGCTGTTCCCTGTGTCCCGACTCCCCTATGCTGTGCCCAGACTAACCTCTGCTGTGCCCCGACTAACCTCTGCTGTTCCCTGTGTCCCGACTCCCCTATGCTGTGCCCAGACTAACCTCTGCTGTGCCCCGACTAACCTCTGCTGTTCCCTGTGTCCCGACTCCCCTATGCTGTGCCCAGACTAACCTCTGCTGTGCCCCGACTAACCTCTGCTGTTCCCTGTGTCCCGACTCCCCTATGCTGTGCCCAGACTAACCTCTGCTGTGCCCCGACTAACCTCTGCTGTTCCCTGTGTCCCGACTCCCCTATGCTGTGCCCAGACTAACCTCTGCTGTGCCCCGACTAACCTCTGCTGTTCCCTGTGTCCCGACTCCCCTATGCTGTGCCCAGACTAACCTCTGCTGTGCCCCGACTAACCTCTGCTGTTCCCTGTGTCCCGACTCCCCTATGCTGTGCCCAGACTAACCTCTGCTGTGCCCCGACTAACCTCTGCTGTTCCCTGTGTCCCGACTCCCCTATGCTGTGCCCAGACTAACCTCTGCTGTGCCCCGACTAACCTCTGCTGTTCCCTGTGTCCCGACTCCCCTATGCTGTGCCCAGACTAACCTCTGCTGTGCCCCGACTAACCTCTGCTGTTCCCTGTGTCCCGACTCCCCTATGCTGTGCCCAGACTAACCTCTGCTGTGCCCCGACTAACCTCTGCTGTTCCCTGTGTCCCGACTCCCCTATGCTGTGCCCAGACTAACCTCTGCTGTGCCCAGACTAACCTCTGCTGTTCCCTGTGCTCACACTAACCTCTGCTGTTCCCTGTGCCCAGACTAACCTCTGTTGCTCCCTGTGTTCAGAGTAGCCTCTGGCCTACAGGATTTGACTTTTCTTCACTTGCTCCTCACTCAAGACTTAAGTAGCTTTGGGTCAGTTGCTTAACCATTCTGTTGATTTCCTATGTATAAAGCAGAAGCAACAGTAGCTCTCTTATGAGGTAAGGATTAAGACTCTCAAACAGGGCTAGAGAGATGACTCAGTGGTTAAGAGCACTGGCTGTCTTCCAGAGGGTCCTAGTTTGATTTCCAGCACCCATATGGCAGTTACTAACCATCTACAACTCCAATCCCAGGAGATCCTATGACCTCTTCTGGCCCCTGTGGACACTACACACAGGTGGTTCAGAGGCATACATTCTGGCAAAACATTTAGATACATAAAATAAAATAAAAAGTATTTTTAAAAAGCTGGATAGTAGTAGCACATGCCTTTAATCCCAGCACTTAAGAGGCAGAGCAAGCAAAATCTCTGAGGCCAACCCAGTCTGCAGAGCGAGTTCCAGTATAGCCAGGGCTACACAGAGAAACGCTGGCTTGGCAAAAAAAAAAAAAAAAAAAAAGACTCTCAAACCTTAAAAGACTCTAAGTCATTGTCAGTAAAGGAAACCACCTACCTCAAAACTAGGGTCATAAAAACAAGCCCAAGTTGTCAAGAAACCAGCCATCCGTGGAATTCTAGAACACAGTTCACCCACATCACTGGCCCTGGAGCCAGAAGGCCTCAGGAACAGGCAATCCAGCTTATCTCACACCCTGGTGACCCTCAACCCCCACTCAAAAAACTGATTCTCAGACCCTGCCCAGTTTTGTCTGTTTCCTTGGATGCTGAGTCACAGGGTTTAGGGACCAACCTCTCAAACCAGAGAAGTGTGCCCTCCCGTTCTACAGTAGACCTGAGTTCTTTCATTTTACTCTGGCGAGGACTGAGTGGCAACCATTGTTGCTTGACAAGGTTCCATAGTTCTCTAGCACCTTGTTACTTTCATGTTCAATGATTCTCACTATGTATTATGGGAGTTCCCTTATGCCTGTTCTTTTGGGAAATTTTGTGGGGGCTTTTGTGAAGAATGGAAATGTATAAACTGGAAGCTTCTTTAAACAAAATGATTATCTGGGGAAAATCCCCACCACTGTGGAACCACACAGTGAGATGACTCTGCACACAGGGATCCCCATAGTGCTCCCCTGATTACACCGAGACAGGAAAGTTAGAGATTTACTTGCTTAGCCCACCACAGGAGAGGCCACTCTTCTTTTTATTGCTGCCTGGAGTGGGAGTAGCCTCCAGACAGCACAGGGCTCTAAAGGAACCCATGGCTTTGGAGTATACTAGACATTTTTATCTGAGGGGGTAAGAGGAAAAAGACACACTCTCTCTTGATGGTTTCCTTCATATTTTTTCTATTTTTTTAAGATTTATTTATTATGTATACAGCATTCTGTCTGCATGTATGCCTGCAGGCCAGAAGAGGGGCCCAGATGGTTGTGAGCCACCATGTGGTTGGGGGGAATTGAACTCAGGACCTCTGGAAGAGCAGCCAGTGCTCTTAACCACTGAGCCATCTCTCCAGTCTGATGGTTTCTTCTTTGCTCTCTCTCTCTCTCTCTCTCTCTCTCTCTCTCTCTCTCTCTCTCTCTCTCCTTCCTCCCCCTTCTCCTCTTCCTTCTGTGTTCTCATACTTTTTTCCCTACAGCTTATATGATGGGGGATGTCCTTCTGTATATATGTTTCTCTTATTAGTTGATGAATAAAAATTCTGTTTGGCCAATAGAGGCAAGAAGATAGGCAGGACTAAGAGATGAGAAGCATTCTGGGAAATGTAGGCAGGGATGGACCTCGAAGGGACGCCATGTAGAGACCGGAAGGATAGGACACACCAGGCATTCTCTGGTAAGAAAAGGCCATGTAGAAATACATAAATTTATAGTTAGGGTTAATAATTAAGACAGAGCTAGCCAATAAGAAGCCCTAGTCGGGGCTGGAGAGATGGCTCAGCAGTTAAGAGCACTGACTGTTCTTCCAGAGGTCCTGAGTTCAATTCCCAGCAACCACAAGGTGGCTCACAACTACCTCTAATGAGATCTGGTGCCCTCTGCTGGCATGCAGGCAGAAGACTGTATGCATAATAAATAAAATCTAAAAAAAAAAGAAGCCCTAGTCATTGGCCAATAGTTTTATAATTAATATAGCATCTCTCTGTGTTCATTTGGGGCTGAAGTGGCAGGACCTGGTGGGACAAGAAACTCCAGTAACACTTATTTATCCCAACAAAGTATATCAGGAAATATAGAAATTACAATGTGGTTACATTCTGTTTTTCAAGTGAATGATTACAATGAGTAAAAGAAAAACAGCATGTTTTTTCATATACTTTATGTGATTAAATATTTGATGTTTTCCAGGTAAAAAACAAATTATCCCAAGAACATTCCCATGTACATTCATAACCAAGCAACTTGTTATACATTAACTATGTGGGCAAGCAAGATATTCTTAGTCAGGTCTTTTACTGGCAGGCTGCATTTTGCAGTTACAAAGAAAAAGTCAATTACTTTTTATTGCTTATCTTGAATGGGAATCTTATAAGGAATCTTAAGGGAATCACAAATCTAAACTTTTATATATGAAAAAGAATCAGTCAACTCTACTTAACATTTAGGGTGCATTCCCACTCATCAATAGATTTTTATATCAGGAGATTGAGAGCAGAAATGGGTACAAGGAATCATA